GTGAGTTAGTCCCAGTCTGGCACTCGTTACTGAGATTCTTGATGAAGCGTGAAATGGTCCCAGTCTGGCAGTCGTTACTGAGATCACTTAATGAAGCGTGAGTCAGTCCCAGTCTGGCAGTCGTTACTGGGATCAGTTGATGAAGCGTGGGTTAGTCCCAGTCTGGCAGTCGTTACTGAGATCACTTGATGAATGCGTCAGATAGTCCCAGTCTGGCAGTCGTTACTGAAATCAGTTGATGAAGGCGCAAGTTAGTCCCAGTCTGACAGTCGTTACTGAGATCAGTTGATGAAGGCGTGAGTAAGTCCCAGTCTGGCAGTCGTTACTGAGATCACTTGATGAAGGTGTGAGTCAGTCCCAGTCTGGCAGTCGTCACTGAGATCACTTAATGAAGGTGTGAGTCAGTGCCAGCCTGGCAGTCGTTACTGAGATCACTTGATGAAGGCGTGAGATAGTCCCAGTCTGGCAGACGTTACTGAGATCACTTGATGAAGGTGTGAGTTAGTCCCAGTCTGGCAGTCGTTACTGAGATCAGTTGATGAGGGCGTGAGATAATCCCAGTCTGGCAGTCGTTTCTGAGATCACTTGATGAAGACGTCAGATATTCCCAGTCTGACAGTCGTTACTAAGATCACTTGATGAAGCGTGAGTCAGTCCCAGTCTGACAGTCGTTACTGAGATCACTTGATGAAGGCGTGAGTTAGTCCCAGTCTGGCAGTCGTTACTGGAATCACTTGATGAGGGCGTGAGATAGTCCCAGTCTGGCAGTCGTTACTGGGATCAGTTGGTGAGGGCGTGAGATAGTCCCAGTCTGACAATCGTTACGTGGATCAGTTGATGAGGGCGTGAGATAGTCCCAGTCTGGCAGTCGTTACTGAGATCAGTTGATGAAGGCGTGAGTAAGTCCCAGTCTGGCAGTCGTTACTGAGATCACTTGATGAAGGTGTGAGTCAGTCCCAGTCTGGCAGTCGTCACTGAGATCACTTAATGAAGGTGTGAGTCAGTGCCAGCCTGGCAGTCGTTACTGAGATCACTTGATGAAGGCGTGAGATAGTCCCAGTCTGGCAGTCGTTACTGAGATCACTTGATGAAGGTGTGAGTTAGTCCCAGTCTGGCAGTCGTTACTGAGATCAGTTGATGAGGGCGTGAGATAATCCCAGTCTGGCAGTCGTTTCTGAGATCACTTGATGAAGACGTCAGATAGTCCCAGTCTGACAGTCGTTACTGAGATCACTTGATGAAGCGTGAGTCAGTCCCAGTCTGACAGTCGTTACTGAGATCACTTGATGAAGGCGTGAGTTAGTCCCAGTCTGGCAGTCGTTACTGGAATCACTTGATGAGGGCGTGAGATAGTCCCAGTCTGGCAGTCGTTACTGGGATCAGTTGATGAGGGCGTGAGATAGTCCCAGTCTGACAATCGTTACTGGATCAGTTGATGAGGGCGTGAGATAGTCCCAGTCTGGCAGTCGTTACTGAGATCAGTTGATGAAGGCGTGAGATAGTCCCAGTCTGGCAGTCGTTTCTGAGATCACTTGATGAAGGTGTGAGTCAGTCCCAGTCTGGCAGTCGTTACTGAGATCAGTTGATGAAGGTGTGAGTCAGTCCCAGTCTGGCAGTCGTTACTGAGATCAGTTGATGAAGGCGTGAGTTAGTCCCAGTCTGGCAGTCGTTTCTGAGATCACTTGATGAAGGTGTGAGTCAGTCCCAGTCTGGCAGTCGTTACTGATATCACTTGATGAAGGCGTGAGTTAGTCCCAGTCTGGCAGTCGTTACTGAGATCAGTTGATGAGGGCGTGAGATAGTCCCAGTCTGGCAGTCGTTACTGAGATCACTTTGATGAGGGGCGGGCGTGAGATAGTCCCAGTCTGGCAGTCGTTACTGAGATTCTTGATGAAGCGTGAAATGGTCCCAGTCTGGCAGTCGTTACTGAGATCACTTAATGAAGCGTGAGTCAGTCCCAGTCTGGCAGTCGTTACTGAGATCAGTTGATGACGCGTGGGTTAGTCCCAGTCTGGCAGTCGTTACTGAGATCACTTGATGAATGCGTCAGATAGTCCCAGTCTGGCAGTCGTTACTGAAATCAGTTGATGAAGGCGCAAGTTAGTCCCAGTCTGACAGTCGTTACTAGGATCAGTTGATGAAGGCGTGAGTTGGTCCCAGTCTGACAATCGTTACTTGGATCAGTTGATGAAGGCGTGAGATAGTCCCAGTCTGGCAGTCGTTACTGAGATCAGTTGATGAAGGCGTGAGTAAGTCCCAGTCTGGCAGTCGTTACTGAGATCACTTGATGAAGGTGTGAGTCAGTCCCAGCCTGGCAGTCGTTACTGAGATCACTTCATGAAGGCATGAGATAGTCCCAGTCTGGCAGTCGTTACTGAGATCACTTGATGAAGGTGTGAGTTAGTCCCAGTCTGGCAGTCGTTACTGAGATCAGTTGATGAGGGCGTGAGATAATCCCAGTCTGGCAGTCGTTTCTGAGATCACTTGATGAAGACGTCAGATAGTCCCAGTCTGGCAGTCGTTACTGAGATCACTTGATGAAGCGTGAGTCAGTCCCAGTCTGACAGTCGTTACTGAGATCACTTGATGAAGGCGTGAGTTAGTCCCAGTCTGGCAGTCGTTACTGGGATCACTTGATGAGGGCGTGAGATAGTCCCAGTCTGGCAGTCGTTACTGGGATCACTTGATGAGGGCGTGAGATAGTCCCAGTCTGGCAGTCGTTACTGAGATCACTTGATGAGGGCGTGAGATAGTCCCAGTCTGGCAGTCGTTACTGAGATTCTTGATGAAGCGTGAAATGGTCCCAGTCTGGCAGTCGTTACTGAGATCACTTAATGAAGCGTGAGTCAGTCCCAGTCTGGCAGTCGTTACTGAGATCAGTTGATGACGCGTGGGTTAGTCCCAGTCTGGCAGTCGTTACTGAGATCACTTGATGAATGCGTCAGATAGTCCCAGTCTGGCAGTCGTTACTGAAATCAGTTGATGAAGGCGCAAGTTAGTCCCAGTCTGACAGTCGTTACTAGGATCAGTTGATGAAGGCGTGAGTTGGTCCCAGTCTGACAATCGTTACTTGGATCAGTTGATGAAGGCGTGAGATAGTCCCAGTCTGGCAGTCGTTACTGAGATCAGTTGATGAAGGCGTGAGTAAGTCCCAGTCTGGCAGTCGTTACTGAGATCACTTGATGAAGGTGTGAGTCAGTCCCAGCCTGGCAGTCGTTACTGAGATCACTTCATGAAGGCATGAGATAGTCCCAGTCTGGCAGTCGTTACTGAGATCACTTGATGAAGGTGTGAGTTAGTCCCAGTCTGGCAGTCGTTACTGAGATCAGTTGATGAGGGCGTGAGATAATCCCAGTCTGGCAGTCGTTTCTGAGATCACTTGATGAAGACGTCAGATAGTCCCAGTCTGGCAGTCGTTACTGAGATCACTTGATGAAGCGTGAGTCAGTCCCAGTCTGACAGTCGTTACTGAGATCACTTGATGAAGGCGTGAGTTAGTCCCAGTCTGGCAGTCGTTACTGGGATCACTTGATGAGGGCGTGAGATAGTCCCAGTCTGGCAGTCGTTACTGGGATCACTTGATGAGGGCGTGAGATAGTCCCAGTCTGGCAGTCGTTACTGAGATCAGTTGATGAAGCATGAGATAGTCCCAGTCTGGCAGTCGTTACTGAGATCACTTAATGAAGCGTGAGTCAGTCCCAGTCTGGCAGTCGTTACTGAGATCATTTGATGAAGCGTGGGTTAGTCCCAGTCTGGCAGTCGTTACTGAGATCACTTGATGAATGCGTCAGATAGTCCCAGTCTGGCAGTCGTTACTGAAATCAGTTGATGAAGGCGCAAGTTAGTCCCAGTCTGACAATCGTTACTGAGATCAGTTGATGAAGGCGTGAGATAGTCCCAGTCTGGCAGTCGTTACTGAGATCAGTTGATGAAGGCGTGAGTTAGTCCCAGTCTGGCAGTCGTTTCTGAGATCACTTCATGAAGGCGTGAGATAGTCCCAGTCTGGCAGTCGTTACTGAGATCACATCATGAAGCGTGAGTCAGTCCAAGTCTGGCAGTCGTTACTGAGATCAGTTGATGAAGGCGTGAGTTAGTCCCAGTCTGGCAGTCGTTACTGGGATCAGTTGATGAGGGCGTGAGATAGTCCCAGTCTGGCAGTCGTTACTGGGATCAGTTGATGAGGGCGTGAGATCGTCCCAGTCTGGCAGTGGTTACTGGGATCAGTTGATGAGGGCGTGAGATAGTCCCAGTCTGGCAGTCGTTACTGAGATCAGTTGATGAAGCGTGAGATGGTCCCAGTCTGGCAGTCGTTACTGAGATCACTTAATGAAGCATGAGTCAGTCCCAGTCTGGCAGTCGTTACTGAGGTCACTTGATGAAGGCGTGAGATAGTCCCAGTCTGGCAGTCGTTACTGAGATCACTTGATGAAGGTGTGAGTCAGTCCCAGTCTGGCAGTCGTTACTGAGATCACTTCATGAAGCGTGAGTTAGTCCCAGTCTGGCAGTCGTTACTGGGATCAGTTGATGAGGGCGTGAGATAGTCCCAGTCTGGCAGTCGTTACTGGGATCAGTTGATGAGGGCGTGAGATAGTCCCAGTCTGGCAGTCGTTACTGAGATCAGTTGATGAAGCGTGAGATAGTCCCAGTCTGGCAGTCGTTACTGAGATCACTTGGTGAAGGCGTGAGTTAGTCCCAGTCTTGCAGTCGTTACTGGAATCAGTTGATGAGGGTGTGAGATAGTCCCAGTCTGACAGTCGTTACTGAGATCACTTAATTAAGGCGTGAGATATTCCCAGTCTGGCAATCGTTACTGAGATCAGTTGATGAAGGCGTGAGTTAGTCCCAGTCTGGCAGTCGTTACTGAGATCAGTTGATGAGGGCGTGGGTCAGTGGTAGTCTGAGATATATGTTACCAAATCACATGTGCTAGCGAAAACTTCTGATGATCTGCAAGTCAATTGTTGCATGTTGCCCTTTTCCATTACAACAAACAACACATACACATTTATCCAGTTTTATTTGTTTTACCATGTATACACTTACATGTACACTATTGTGTTCGAGTACGAGTTTATCACAGGAAGTAGCAGAGTCTTTATTAGCGGCGCTGCACATTCTTTTGTCTTAAAATCCTGTCACAATCCAGGAGAAAGATGACTAACATAAAACACGAGACAATTGTCACCCCGGAGGCTCCAATCACCATGGCAGATTCCCGGTCGTCATGCGCAGATGTCAACTTTCGCTTGCTTTTGGAAAGAGTTGCTTTGTCAACAACGAGCATATCAACAGTCAAACGAAACTGGTTCCGTGAGCGACGACCGAGTCCCGAACATGGACACAACTTGCTCGCTGCAATTACAAACAACATCAGCACAACAGCGGAAATCGGTGTCCGTCCAAAGACAGTTACAACTACTCAAATTTACCAAGATTTATGAATTCAAGAATAATTAATGATGCCCAATAGTGCATTTTAGAACAATTAGTCAAATCTGTTGCTGGAATTGAAAAATGTACATAAGTACATATGAATCTGCCTTGTGAAAGCAATATATAGTTGTCATATATACCTGTATGATAAAGACAATGTCAAGTTATTTATTTACCTTTCTTGTTTAAAACCTTGTCTGGGTCAGTAGAAGTACTAGCTGTTGAGTGTGTAGAAGGTGGGCTTATTGAAGTGATGGTACTGGAGGCTGGACCAGAGGCAGTTGGACTTGAGATGGTAGTCACACTAGTTGTGTCTGTGGGGGATGTGGTAGTTGAAGTCATCACTGTTGATGCTCTCGTAGATGTGGTCGATGGACTGACAGTGGTTGTCGTTGTTAGCAGCATTGATGGCATTGTTGTTATCGACTCTGTTGTTGTTGGTGGTGTTGTTACAGAAACAGTTGGATTCGTAATTACAGTGGTGGTGGTAGTTGTGGTTGTGGTTGTGGATGTCATTGTCGTCGGCACATAGACACAGCCGGGCATTGTTGTGGTTGTTACAGACGGTGTAACAGGTGCGGTGGGCGAGAGAGACGTGCAGGTGTACTGGGGGACACGGTTGTTGTTGGTGTACGATGAAGACTGAACTCTTGAAGAATCTAGACACGATTATAGTTCATACAGTTATTCGTGCTCGGACCTGGTTCAGTTGCAATATGTTCATATACACAACAGACCCATTGTAGCACATAATTATACCTTCACTAAGGTAATGTATGATAGCATTAGACTGAAGGGGTCGATATGGCGCTTTTGAAAATATACCTTGTACTATTTCAGAAATGTAATTGCTCCTCTTTGTGGTAAGTAGCCCATTTGATCAGGTATCAGTCGTGAATTATAATAGTATGCATGTTCAGTTACAAATCCACTAGAACTGAAAGGCGGTACTAATAGGAAATTAGGTTCATATATTATGCAGAAAATGTGTGTATTGCGATTCAATTTGATTTCTTACATTATGCTATTGTAATGCTCACCGATCCACGCGATGAACGAGGATCAGGAATCAACAAACCCCCACCAAGTGTTACAACCGTAGTTCAAACGGTGACCTGCAACTTCAACATTTAGGCCGCGGTGGTTAGTGGCCTCGTGTAAATAGCCTGGTTTCTGACGCCAGAAGCCTCAGTAGCCCCAGACATTTACGGAGTCAAATGAATAATGCGTAATTGCAGCCACATGTTCAACATGTCCATGACGCAAACACAATGGCCATCATGGCAAGCGATACTGAGGTTCGGCGCTATAGCAAAAGGACTTGTTTATGACATAGTGTCAGTGGTCGAGAAGAACGGTGACGAGCAGAGAGCAACCTATTACACAAGAGTGAACAAGGCAACCTTCTTTCTTCTGTACAGCAGCACATCAGCTGGATGGAGTGTGTGTCGAAACATCAGATGGTCGACCTCACTCTACACTCAACGACGGGGATGATAACAATAATGAAATTACAACATATAAAATATGTCACATCTCGATTTGGGTAGACTGATCATGCATTCATACATTTAGTATCATTAAACCCTAAAAAAAGCAATATGATAGGGTTTGCATATTTTTGTATGCAGCTGTTGTTTGGTGTTTTTATAATGCACTTGTTTATAGTATGTAACTTACAATGACATACGACATTACATCAAAACAAAATACTAGTAAGTCATTTTTTAAAATGTCTTGATTCATGGCGTGACCATTCATTATTTATGTACTCTACAACATCAACAACTTTCATTTAATTCTCGTGATTTTAATAATTCCTGCCATAATTCCATATAAGTGCTAGCATTTGATAAGATGACTAAAACGTAAGTGCCAAAGCAAATAGCTTTCTCTACAAATTCAATTGTCTCATTCAATGGTATTTTGTCAAAGTACAATAATTGGGCGTGTCTTGAACCACTGTGGTCACGTGGGCGACGGGAGGGTTTTACTGCGACTCTTCCCATCCGATTAAACGCTGTTGTTTTTATTGATTTCTCTGGGTAAATCTTATTTTCCGTGTATACTAAAATGCCCTGTCTTATATTGATGACGTTGTTTATAATGCTGATCTTATTTTCCAAACATTAAGTGACAATTTGTCGATAATAATATAACTAACGAATAGATTGTTGATATAGGGATTCGATCAAAGGATCTTTTGATGAAGCTCTCCTAGTACACAGTCATAGGCCAATCATAGGCCAGTCATAGACACAAGCAGCCTTCAGTGCAACAGAACCAGGTCTTATATTGATGCCATTGTAAGTAAATGATTTATAAGGCCATCACCAGTCGTGAACGCCATGAAATATAAATGATATGATCGGTCGTTAAGTAGTGTTAGCTTTGAAACATAATTGCCAGAAATAACAGATCTGTTTCTTAATCAATATGAACGACGATGGACGATGTGTTCACACCACACATAGTAAGAAAAAGCCATCGTGTCACGACGGTGTGTTTAAATTAGATACATAAATCTACATCCCGTCAAAAAGATGTGCTCACACATGCACGGGGAAGCACTTACATCTTGCTAGAACGCTGTGGGGAAATCAGTCATAGACACAAGCAAATCCAATGAAAGATATCCCCCTCTCACCAGTCATAGACACAAGCAAATCCAATGAAAGATATCCCCTCTCACCAGTCATAGACACAAGCAAATCATATCAAGGTTATGCCCTCTCAACCAGTAATAGACACAAGCAAATCCAATGAAAGTTATCCCCTCTCATCAGTCATAGACACAAGCAAATCCAATGAAAGATATCCCTTCTCACCAGTCATAGACACAAGCAAATCCAATCAAGGCTATGCCCTCTCATCAGTCATAGACACAAGCAAATCCAATGAAAGATATCCCTTCTCACCAGTCATAGACACAAGCAAATCCAATCAAGGCTATGCCCTCTCATCAGTCATAGACACAAGCAAATCCAATCAAAGATATCCCTTCTCACTAGTCATAGACACAAGCAAATCCAATCAAGGCTATGCCCTCTCATCAGTCATAGACACAAGCAAATCCAATCAAAGATATCCCCTCTCACCAGTCACAGACTCGCATTTGCATCCTGTTGGAACAACACATCCAGTCAGAACGATGTGGTTACAGTCACACACACACACACACACACACACACACACACACACACACACACACACACACGCACGCACGCACGCACGCACGCACGCACGCACACACGCACATCCTGTCACAGCGATGTACACACAGCAGCCACAGACTCACAATGAACTCACAAGAATGGCATCGTTTGATATCAGTGATGGTGGTTGAGCTGCAGGCCATGGCTGGTGTGTCCACTACAGAGAGGTCCAAGTCCATACTGAGCCAGCAGGTGCCGTCATTGTCTACACTGGTAGCAACACACTCATTCCCGCCCTCTGTATACGTCTCACACATCTTTAGACACTGTGTATAGCCAAGGCCGCCAGCGTTGTGGAGGCTCCCAGACAGTTTGGACCCTCCGAACGTCTCGAACCAACACCCACCTGAAGGTAATAGGCTATTTAGATTCCCTTCGGATGATAATGCTTCTCAGTGAACACCATATTCCAACATCGCCATTATCATCATTACTACCGTTTCTCTGTCATTGTTCTATTATCTCGTAGTCGTTTTCCTCAACCGTTCTATATTTTGTCCATGTTTATTTGTTTTGCATTATTTAGTTTAGTTATTACATATTTACCTAGTTTATGTTCACACACAAACTTATAGTTCTTGTTGCAGAGATCGGTCCTAAACCTCAGGCCTTTGTCGTCCAGGCGGATACAGTGATCGGTATTCCAATAGTTGGGCTCCCCCGAGTACCAGATAGACCAGCTTAAAGCGGTACAGTCACTCCACCTGTAATCCCGATTCGGCTTATTTCGATCGTGTAGTCCGCTCCATATGTCCTCTTTGCTACCACTGTAACCGCAAACCATCAAATATGTCATGGTCTTTGCTTCAATACATTTACACAGCGGAAGTAACATATCCACAGCAGATGTAACACACCAACATAGCGGAAGTAACACATTTAAACAACGGAAGTAACATGTCCACAGAGCAGAAGTAACACACCAACATAGCGGAAGTAACACATTCAAACAACGGAAGTAACATGTCCATAGAGCGGAAGTAACACACCAACATAGCGGAAGTAACACATTTAAACAGCGGAAGTAACATGTCCATAGAGCAGAAGTAACACACCAACATAGCGGAACTAACACATTCAAACAACGGAAGTAACGTGTCCATACAGCGGAAGTAATACACCAACATAGCGGAAGTAACACATTTAAACAGCGGAAGTAACATGTCCACAGAGCAGAAGTAACACACTGACATAGCGGAAGTAACACATTCAAACAACAGAAGTAACCTGTCCACTGAGTAGAAGTAACACACTAACATAGCGGAAGTAACACATTCAAACAACGGAAGTAACATGTCCATAGAGCAGAAGTAACACACCAACATAGCGGAAGTAACACATTCAAACAACGGAAGTAACCTGTCCACAGAGCAGAAGTAACACACCAACATAGCGGAAGTAACACATTCAAACAACGGAAGTAACATGTCCATACAGCGGAAGTAACACACCAACATAGCGGAAGTAACACATTCAAACAACGGAAGTAACATGTCCATAGAGCAGAAGTAACACACCAACATAGCGGAAGTAACACATTCAAACAACGGAAGTAACATGTCCACAGAGTAGAAGTAACACACCAACATAGCGGAAGTAACACATTCAAACAACGGAAGTAACATGTCCATACAGCGGAAGTAACATGTCCACAAAGCAGAAGTAACACACTGACATAGCGGAAGTAACACATTCAAACAACGGAAGCAACATGTCCATAGAGCAGAAGTAAAACACTAACATAGCGGAAGTAACATGTCCATACAGCGGAAGTAACATCTCCATAGAGCAGAAGTAAGATGTCCACAGAGTAGAAGTAACACACTAATATAGCGGAAGTAACACATTTAAACAGCGGAAGTAACATGTCCACAGAGCAGAAGTAACACATCAACATAGCGGAAGTAACACATTTAAACAACGGAAGTAACCTGTCCACAGAGCAGAAGTAACACACCAACATAGCGGAAGTAACACATTTAAACAACGGAAGTAACATGTCCATACAGCGGAAGTAACACACTAACATAGCGGAAGTAACACATTCAAACAACGGAAGTAACATGTCCATACAGCAGAAGTAACACACTAACATAGCGGAAGTAACACATTTAAAAAGCGGAAGTATCATGTCCACAGAGTAGAAGTAACACACTAACATAGCGGAAGTAACACATTCAAACAACGGAAGTAACATGTCCACAGAGCAGAAGTAATACACCAACATAGCGGAAGTAACACATTCAAACAACGGAAGTAACATGTCCACAGAGCAGAAGTAACACACCAACATAGCGGAAGTAACACATTCAAACAACGGAAGTAACATGTCCACAGAGTACAAGTAACACACCAACATAGCGGAAGTAACACATTCAAACAACGGAAGTAACATGTCCATACAGCGGAAGTAACATGTCCACAGAGCAGAAGTAACACACTGACATAGCGGAAGTAACACATTCAAACAACGGAAGTAACATGTCCATAGAGCAGAAGTAACACACTAACATAGCGGAAGTAACATGTCCATACAGCGGAAGTAACATGTCCATAGAGCAGAAGAAAGATGTCCACAGAGCAGAAGTAACACACTAACATAGCGGAAGTAACACATTTAAACAGCGGAAGTAACATGTCCACAGAGCAGAAGTAACACACTAACATAGCGGAAGTAACATGTCCACAGCAGATGTAACACACCAACATAGCGGAAGTAACACATTTAAACAACGGAAGTAACATGTCCAGAGCAGAAGTAACACACCAACATAGCGGAAGTAACACATTTAAACAACGGAAGTAACATGTCCATACAGCGGAAGTAACACACTAACATAGCGGAAGTAACACATTTAAACAACGGAAGTAACATGTCCATACAGCAGAAGTAACACACTAACATAGCGGAAGTAACATGTCCACAGCAGATGTAACACACTAACATAGCGGAAGTAACACATTCAAACAACGGAAGTAACGTGTCCATACAGCGGAAGTAATACACCAACATAGCGGAAGTAACACATTTAAACAGCGGAAGTAACATGTCCACAGAGCAGAGGTAACACACTGACATAGCGGAAGTAACACATTCAAACAACGGAAGTAACCTGTCCACAGAGCAGAAGTAATACACCAACATAGCGGAAGTAACACATTCAAACAACGGAAGTAAGATGTCCACAGAGCAGAAGTAACACACTAACATAGCGGAAGTAACACAGTCAAACAACGGAAGTAACATGTCCACAGAGCAGAAGTAACACACTAACATAGCGGAAGTAACACATTCAAACAACGGAAGTAACATGTCCATAGAGCAGAAGTAACACACCAACATAGCGGAAGTAACACATTCAAACAACGGAAGTAACCTGTCCACAGAGCAGAAGTAACACACCAACATAGCGGAAGTAACACATTCAAACAACGGAAGTAACATGTCCATACAGCGGAAGTAACACACCAACATAGCGGAAGTAACACATTCAAACAACGGAAGTAACATGTCCATAGAGCAGAAGTAACACACCAACATAGCGGAAGTAACACATTCAAACAACGGAACTAACATGTCCACAGAGTAGAAGTAACACACCAACATAGCGGAAGTAACACATTCAAACAACGGAAGTAACATGTCCATACAGTGGAAGTAACATGTCCACAGAGCAGAAGTAACACACTGACATAGCGGAAGTAACACATTCAAACAACGGAAGTAACATGTCCATAGAGCAGAAGTAACACACTGACATAGCGGAAGTAACATGTCAATACAGCGGAAGTAACATGTCCATAGAGCAGAAGTAAGATGTCCACAGAGTAGAAGTAACACACTAACATAGCGGAAGTAACACATTTAAAAAGCGGAAGTAATATGTCCACAGAGCAGAAGTAACACACTAACATACCGGAAGTAACACATTTAAACAACGGAAGTAACATGTCCACAGAGCAGAAGTAACACACCAACATAGCGGAAGTAACACATTTAAACAACGGAAGTAACATGTCCATACAGCGGAAGTAAGACACTAACATAGCGGAAGTAACACATTCAAACAACGGAAGTAACATGTCCATACAGCAGAAGTAACACACTAACATAGCGGAAGTAACACATTTAAAAAGCGGAAGTATCATGTCCACAGAGTAGAAGTAACACACTAACATAGCAGAAGTAACACATTCAAACAACGGAAGTAACATGTCCACAGAGCAGAAGTAATACACCAACATAGCGGAAGTAACACATTTAAACAGCGGAAGTAACATGTCCACAGAGCAGAAGTAACACACTAACATAGCGGAAGTAACATGTCCACAGAGCAGAAGTAACACACTAACATAGCGGAAGTACCGCATTCAAACAACGGAAGTAACCTGTCCATAGAGTAGAAGTAACACACCAACATAGCGGAAGTAACACATTCAAACAACAGAAGTAACATGTCCATAGAGCGGAAGTAACACACCAACATAGCGGAAGTAACACATTCAAACAACGGAAGTAACATGTCCATAGAGCAGAAGTAACACACCAACATAGCGGAAGTAACACATTCAAACAACGGAAGTAACATGTCCACAGAGCAGAAGTAACACACCAACATAGCGGAAGTAACACATTCAAACAACGGAAGTAACATGTCCACAGAGCAGAAGTAACACACTAACATAGCGGAAGTAACACAGTCAAACAACGGAAGTAACATGTCCACAGAGTAGAAGTAACACACTAACATAGCGGAAGTAACACATTCAAACAGCGGAAGTAACCTGTCCATAGAGCAGAAGTAACACACCAACATAGCGGAAGTAACACATTCAAACAACGGAAGTAACATGTCCACAGAGTACAAGTAACACACCAACATAGCGGAAGTAACACATTCAAACAACGGAAGTAACATGTCCATACAGCGGAAGTAACATGTCCACAGAGAAGATGTAACACACTGACATAGCGGAAGTAACACATTCAAACAACGGAAGTAACATGTCCATAGAGCAGAAGTAACACACTAACATAGCGGAAGTAACATGTCCATACAGCGGAAGTAACATGTCCATAGAGCAGAAGAAAGATGTCCACAGAGCAGAAGTAACACACTAACATAGCGGAAGTAACACATTTAAACAGCGGAAGTAACATGTCCACAGAGCAGAAGTAACACACTAACATAGCGGAAGTAACATGTCCACAGCAGATGTAACACACCAACATAGCGGAAGTAACACATTTAAACAACGGAAGTAACATGTCCAGAGCAGAAGTAACACACCAACATAGCGGAAGTAACACATTTAAACAACGGAAGTAACATGTCCATACAGCGGAAGTAACACACTAACATAGCGGAAGTAACACATTTAAACAACGGAAGTAACATGTCCATACAGCAGAAGTAACACACTAACATAGCGGAAGTAACACATTCAAACAACGGAAGTAACGTGTCCATACAGCGGAAGTAATACACCAACATAGCGGAAGTAACACATTTAAACAGCGGAAGTAACATGTCCACAGAGCAGAGGTAACACACTGACATAGCGGAAGTAACACATTCAAACAACGGAAGTAACCTGTCCACAGAGCAGAAGTAATACACCAACATAGCGGAAGTAACACATTCAAACAACGGAAGTAAGATGTCCACAGAGCAGAAGTAACACACTAACATAGCGGAAGTAACACAGTCAAACAACGGAAGTAACATGTCCACAGAGCAGAAGTAACACACTAACATAGCGGAAG